CTGTTCAAATATTTAAATTGAAACTGTTCAATTCGAAACAACCACTTAAAGAGCGCACATTATTACGCGTGGTAACGCAAACATTTGTTTATATACAGTACTGCCTTGTTAATTGACCGTAGCTATCCCCACAGATTTGTTGGAAGTTTCTTCATGGAGTGGAGTTGGGAGAGGGGCGTTAATAAGCGGCCAGCTATGAAGATAGTACTGTATACGACGTACGTAAAATTATAATCCTTCGTTTCTTTCCTATTTGCTTTTTCCCATTCGCTCACGCATTCGAACATACTTTCATTGCGCGATGATGCATGGAGAAATCGAAATTGAACGAAGGATGATTTAACAAATATCAGATATCTGTAATACCGACTGTAATAGTACAGGTTGCTTCATATCCAATCGAGAATTTACTTGAGAATTAAACGCGATCGATGGCCTGATTTAACGATGCACGATTACGTTTCTTCGATGTACGAGGGCCAATTTGTGCCTTATAAAGTACAAGTTCGCTAAGAAAATATATAATATACGCGAGGATTCACTCTTACACAGAGATACATTCTAATGTAGCATCGTCCTATACCTTACGAACGTTAACAATACACGTATATAATCGTTACAATACATGTATATATAGTCGTTACGATTATATATATATCGATTCACTCCAATTTTCTCTCCGTTATCATCTATCCTACTTAGTGTTTTACCGATGTAATCGCAATTTATAATTCTAGCAGTAACCCATTTACCGTGATCGATATGTCGCAGTTTTTTTTTCAGTGGACGATCCAACGTTACGTCGATTGAACTGCACCGCGTCCTCGTAATTTTTTTTTTCAATTTTTTATTTTTTTTATTTTTTTTATTTTTTTTCATTTTCTCTTTTTCAATGGTAATCGACGATTGATGAGGATAGTAATTTCACTTAGCCATAAATCGTTACAAAATAGTACAAATAGTACGAGGGGTCTCCTCGCACTCGAAGAAATCGTAATACCGTCGGATGGTAACTCAAGAAATGAAGCATGGCCTGTCGTCGGATGCTGTACAAACAATGTAAAAATCCGCGTCGATTTATCGTTAATAGTTACTTATCCCTTATCGAACTATATGTACCGCTTGGTATAATCACGCTCTACTATGGACTAAAGCTATTGCTCGTTTTCTTCAGTCTAACACGCATCGATAAAATTACGACAAATCTTTTTCATCTCTTGGAAATTTTCTCTCTCTTTTTCTTCTCCCCCCACCCCTTCAGTGGTTCAGCTTGTCCCTCTAGCCTTGGTTTTTTTGTAAAATCAAACTGTAACGTTGCGCAGAGGTGGAGCTAGAAAATGAAAACAACTGTCAAGATTTTCCGGGATTTAGATCGCACAGCGATTGATCGCGAGTAGAAAATACAATTTGATTTCCGATGCACTGAGGGATTCTGCACCGCGAGACTGAATTCGGAAATTCTTCTTTTAAGAATCGTATGAGAATCTCAAGTAATGTCAGCCAGAAGAATCTGGAAGAAATCTCAAGGATGTCAACAACCACTGAGAGAGTAACACCTCTTTTATATAAAAATCATTCGTTACGTGATCGAAGTGAATGAGCAATCTGAAGCATTCACGCCCTCCATGGGAGAGACGTACCGTGCTCATTGACGGACGCATAATTGGATGCACATTGGATAACATAATTTCTTCACCTTGTATCGTGATTCATCTCTTTCATTGCAATTCGTGTTTACGGATACGATCAAAAAGACGTTAAAACATGTTTCCAGGTGATCGACGTCACCCTTTGCTCTTAGGGTCGCTGTGGCAGCAACGACGAGTCGTCAACGAAAGGCACCATCTTGTTTTATTCGCTTACAAACGACGGACGCCCGTGTGAAATTCTAAAAGAATCGATAGCGTGCAATTTTCTATTTTTTAAACCCGAACGACAAGTACGGATGTCTGGATTCATCTTCGTTAAAGTTGTACAAAAAGATACGATCGCACCAATTTCCTTGGATATTCGAATAATCCATATGTCGCTTTTTTTTTTTTTT